TGAGGGTGTGGATGGCTGTGGAGAAAAAGCATGAAGGGGGACAGGCTCATTGGATATCATGGACTCCGTTTTTCTGCAAGCCACTAGAAAAATTTACATATCTTCCCTGGCAGCAAAACGGATGCCATTCCCTTTAAAGCTGGCCGCCGTCAGACGCCGATCCTGACAGCAACTTAGTTCGTCTGTGTAGCTGCAAGGAAGGCCGGGAGATTGGAAAGCGGAGCAACAAGTGAGCCTGCTGAGACTTGAAGATTGAACAATGCAAATAAGGAGAAGAAATACTTTTTGAGGCTTGCTGGAGAATAAATAGGTGTAGGAGTTCCAGGGAATGAGATGCGTGCATTCGACTCAGACTGATGAGACTTCACTGCTCCACAAGTTAAGGTGGAACTAATGAGTGTAATCCATATTCATACTGATGTGAACACCCATTTATTTTATAGCACGAGTAATGCAAGACAGAATAAATGCGAGTGACAACCTATAGTTTTAATCCAGTGTTATGGATCTTCTTTATCATATTTCATGTTGTTTTGGTTTCACTCTGCTGCATTAGCAGAATTTCTCTTGAGGGTATCTGACATGATAATATTTCCTAAAACTCCCCGATTCACTCTGCCGGAAATTAAAGGAACTTCTTCAACAGTATTTTTTATTTTTTTGTGGTTGTTATTTTGTGTTTTGTGGTACGGTTTCATTTGACTGCTAGTGGCCGGTAAATTAATGACTGGCTTTTATCACCAATCAATTTGGAGAGAACAATGTTCAAAGACAGGCGATCATTTGTCAGGAAAAAAAGATAAAATGTAACAAATGATTTAAATTCAGCACTTAACTTTAGCTCTCTTATGCAGATTTCTTGTCCTTTCTGTAATTACAAGAAATTACTAGTTCTCCAGACTTCTTGAAGGTCATTCAAAGCTCTTCTTTGGATCTTGGCTGCTAGATGATCCCACACCGCTCCAAGAATGCAGTGGTCCAGGTTCTGGGGGAGGCCAACCCATGACTAATGTTTTTCTATCCAGGTATGGTATTACTGCTTTGGCAGTGTGTTGGCAGCCATAGCCATAGATGCTTTCCAGATTGTCTTACAAGGTGTATCAAACTCTAACCATGCTTTTCCATGGTCATAATTTCATACATTTTGACAAGATCCCCAACACCTATTGACAACCATTTGAACCAAATTGGAGTCATCACTCCGTTAGACCTGTTGCAATGGATTTTCAGTCCCGTTCTTGTGTAAACTGGCATACCCTGTTTCCCATCCTTAAGAATGGCCTTTTGGATCAGTTGAAGGGCCAGATCTCTCACATCCTGTATCAGGTCTTTGCTGAATTTGTCCTATTTCTGAAGTCTTTATGAGTAACCCTTGAAATATTTTTCAGAACTGAGTGGTTTCTATTATATTTCAGGCCTGTTTATAGAACAAGATAACTGGGTTTGCATTAGAAGTTAGTGACTGTAGTCGCTGCCTACGCAGCTTCTTTTGGAAAAACCCAGAAAGTATTGCAATGGTAGTCAAACCACGACTTTACTGATAAATCGTGAGGTGTGAAAACCCATCATTAAGTGTACAGGGGAGGTCGCAGGGAGACACCACACACCATTCCAATATATCAAGTTTCTGTTTAATAGCTCTTCAGAAAACCTGAAGAAATATTGCACAAGGTCACTTTAAACAAATTACATTAAAGTCTGGCTCCTTGGAAGCAATATATAAAGAAATAAGGGGTGGCTGAAGACTTCTGCAGAGTGCTGGATGACGACATAATATATATTTTTTGTAGTATTAGAGTTCTTAGCAATGAAATAATGCGACAAAAAGCCCATTCACCCTGACAAGAGCAGAACCCAACAAGGAAAAACTATTTCAGTATAAAAACATCACTGGTAGCCTTCAAAACCTGAATCAGTGGATCTTTATTATGCAAAACTTTGCCTGCGTAATCAACAAAGTATTAATAGAATATGGTTCTAGCTTGGGGGTGGGGTGGGGTTAGCATTATAAGGCTGACACTTCAAACGCATATTTCTGGACTCACTAGAATGGGTAGCACTGGCCAGAACATGAAAACAAAAACAGGACTCAAAAGAGTCTGAATACAAGTTATTTACCTGCCATCTTTATTGGTGTCCAATAAATGGAAAATGCTGGTAACGGAGCTGTTCTGATGTCTGATGAGACCTAAAATAAAAATAAAATAAAAAATCACATGTTACTGTAGAATTATGTGATTGTTTAAATAGCAACCACTTCCATCTGAATGCAAACTGAGAGGCAGGAATGAAGAAAAGGATGGAGCTGGATTTAAAAAATATGGGGTGTGGGGGGTGTGGAGGGCAATCAGGCAATGAGTCAGTCACGCTGTGCAAGAACATTTGGTTTCCCTGTAGGAAAAGAAAAAAGCATGCCAGAGTCCAGAATGCAATCAGGAGGCTTTGTGCTGTAACGGCTGGTATGACAGTGATTTCCCTCTTCTCCATTCATGTACACAGGCAGATGAAAAGGAGACGCAAAAACTTCCTCAACCCCCTTTTTCCAGCGAGCATGTGACCCCAACCGATTCATTCTGTGAATCCGCATTCACTGCGAGTGGAAAGGAGAGGAAGTTCTCTTATGTTCAGCACTGAGCATCTCCCGTGTCATCGGCAGAGCAGAGAATGTACAAGGGGTAAACTGATTGGCCCCTAAGTCTGGGGAAAAACACTTTACATAATGCTAATTGCACATCCGCCGCAATTATCTTTCTGTACTAATTACAGAAAAGCTCATTTTGAAATTAGCATTTCTTCCCAGTGTACAGTAAAGCAACTGTGTTAAGTGTGTGATGCAGGGGGGTTTAAAAAATGATCCCTTTTCTCAAACCCATCTTTGCCAAAATAAATCCATATTTATTAAGGCATGCTGTTTGTGGGATTAAAAGTTTTAAAAGATGCTAGATCCTACGCCACTCCTTGACACCCGAAACATGACCGGGAGCTGCAAACGTCTACGGAGAAGCCAGATTCCCGTCACCCCACCCCCTGTTTGTTGACTGCATTCAACCCCGGGAGTTAAACAAGATTTGCTAATATTCTCCTGCAATACACACAGCATCTGTCATATTAGTGGCTTATTCTTTTGTTTGAACAGCACTCTATTCCCAACCTAATGCTTGACATTCTCAACCCATCCTCTGGTCGCTCTGTCTCGCAAAAAAAAAAAAAAAAGTGAGCGCACTAAAGGAGCAAGAGAAATGGTCTCATCCCTCGCTCTACTGCAGAGCCATAGCTATGAAAAACAACCATAAGGAGGATGGATGGAGACGAAGGCAGGGGAAGAAAAAAGATAGAGTGGATGCAGGGGATTGGAGGGCGGTGGGTGGGGTGGGGGTTGGTTGGCAAAAGGTAAGAGGAAGAGTCGAGAGGAATGGGGAAAATAAAAGAGGAGAGAGGAGGAGGGAGAACAAACAAAAAAAAAAAGAAAAATTGGGGAAAGAGGTTCAAAACATTGGCTCTTTAGGCCGACGGCACATATAGGGGACTATGTTTACTAATGGACACCATCAGTCATCCACCCATGTTGCTCGGGCAATATCACGGCACACTCGTAAAATAAAAGAGAGGCACAAAGAGAACAGAGGGAAATGGAACATATCAGCGGGAGACTGCAGATCTACGCCTAGCCTACAGACCATGTTATCCACACAGAGCTTTGTTATTGTAGGCTCGCGCTGCACTCCAAGGCTAAGAAAACACACATTGTCCTGTCTTTTATACACCATAAGCAAGATTTCCAAGAAGGGAAATTACAGTTTTCTGTATGAAAAAAAAATACTTTGAAATGGAAATAGATTAAAAAAAAAACAAAACGCTGCGGGTAGAATCTTTTTTTGTTTTTGTTTTATCGATGGGATGACAAGACTGGAAATACTGATAGAAACCTGAAAATAAATATTTGAACCTAAACGGTGCGTTTAACGGTGAGCATCAGAATGGGAAAAAAAACACTGCAGCACAATGAGAGCGTTGCAGTGTACAAAATCAATATCTTACTCATTAGAGTTTGCTCATAAATTCATCAAGGTTGTGATTACAGTTGCTGAGCTAATTGCCTTATTCCCAGAACTCTTTTCAAGGTTCCCACACGGCTGTGAGTGATTTTTCCAGGAAATTTTTTAACAACCTGAAACTGATATGACACGCAGGTTTTACAAATGAGATAAATGATTGTGCTGCAAGGAAGCTCGGGTATTCGTAACTCGAAAAATCAACTATTAAATTACAAGGTACAATTAATAAAGATGAAAGAATAAAACTAGTCTACATTCTCTGTGGAAAGCTTAGCAGAGCTACCATCACTCAGTCCTGCTTTAGGACTAAATTACCACAAAAATACTTTAAAAAATATGTCAAATTTAATGGAATTTCAGAGTGAAGCTCTGTTTTCAGTTTGGGCTTTTGCTGCTTGACTGACAATGTCAAGCCTTATGGGACCTTCTGAACTCTTTTATGTTTGACACTGTTTGTTTGGCTCTAAGGACAATCAAGCGTTTCCTTATCTGGAGAGGAGACGTATAAGCGGGGATATGAAGCGCTCTGTTAGAGTTCAGAACAGGAAGACAATGCCTGTTGCAACACGTGTTACTGCATTATTTCAAGAAGACATAAGTTTTATAAAGTCTACAGTCGGGTAGACAAGAAGTTTTGTTATTTTCCTTTGTGCAAATCATGTTTTATTAGAAATAAATATCAAGAACCTGTAGTCTTTTGAATTCATAATGGACCCTGGTTTCCAGAGAAGAGGATATAATAGTACAGCCAGTGTTTATGACTGGTCTGGTCCATATAGGTTAGCTCAGGGGAACTACTCGAATCCTCAGAGGCAAGATAGCAGACACTCTAAGTGCTTAGTACATCCTTCATATACAAAGATACAGACATTCTCTATATTAATATATTCCAACAATACATATTTTGTTGGATTCAGTTAATCTCTTCCTATTCTAACCTACCATTAGCGTTTGCATTTACATGTGAATGCACATTAAAGACAGGGAAGCGTAATCATCTATGGCTAACGGGCTTATAGTCTATTTCTCCTTCAAACAATTTTTATACAGAGATTTCCTTACATATACAGTACTGTGCAAAAATCTTGAGCGACACCCAATTTCTTTATATTTTGCTTGGAAGATGGGAAAAGAGTACATCAATTTATTCAAATATGTACAAACACACATGGAAATACAGTATCTAAACCAAAAACAGTGAAACAGTTTGTGAAATTCTAACAAGCAAATACTAGTCCTACATTTCCTCATACTTCATACAATAAGCCAAGTTTATGGCTAGCAGTTCTTTAGGAATGATGCTGTTAAAAAAATTAGGGGTTTTTTTTTAACTGTTTTTTACTACAACTTACTGCATTTTTCAACAAATGAACAAATAATGAGTTTTTTGACGAGATGTTGGTAACAAAGTGCCCGAAGATACAATTTACATTTGGTTCCTTGATGAGTTGTCTGCTATGTGTCGACACAACACTGGTTTATCCCTTGAGTTAGGTGCCTTTTTAATCCTTCAGTGATTCATAAATCTGTAAAGCTTTAAAAGACCTTCGTAAAGTCAAAACAACTGTTTCTCAAGGAAACTTCAATAAAAATAACAGGAAATTAAAATACAAAGAAATGAGGTGTGGCTCAAGACTTTTACACAGCACTCTATCTGCAAGTCAAAGTCCACTTAAAAGAAATCAAATAAAGGATACTGAATCCCATCTTTATTTCACGCCTTCAGGAATAAAGACAATAAGCTTGTATCACACACATACTATGCTCTATATTAGTATGTTCTACTATCAGTGTTGGGGAGTAACGGAATACATGTACCGCCGTTACGTATTTAAAATACAAAATATGAGTAACTGTATTCCGTTACAGTTACCGTTCAAAAGAGTGGTATTCAGAATACAGTTACTTTGTTAAAATAAATGGATTACACGGCGGCCTTTTCCTGTTTTATATGTTAGGTTGTCCTCTCTCTATTTTTGGTAAATCCACACTGGTGGAAACCCAAACAAAACACGCATTGAGAGGCTCTAATGCCTGTGTCTCAGTCTCGCGGCTCATGTCACCTCTACTTGCGGCCTGCATAATGACACGAAGAAATATTTTTTTAAATTATTATTTAAAAAATAATTTAATATGAAGGCAATAGGCAGAGTGTTGCAGGCACGGCCCTAAAGAATGTAGCCTCGTGGGCAGTGTAGCCCAGTTGTAAGTAAGCTATTATGACTCGACTGTACACCGTGTTTGTGTTTTCCTCTGAAACTATAAGTTCCGTTGAAGCAGCCTTTCAACCCCTCTCTCTGTCTCTCGCTAGCAAAGTTGACCCAGACAATAAAGTAAAGCTAGTTTTCGGCTACACGGAACCCAACGTATTAGCCAGAGGTCCCTTTACTACGGTTCGGAGCCGCGGACATGTTTTACATATGTGCGGAATAGTTTTCTATACGAGATCGCTGCAAAAAGTGCAGCCTTACCTAATGTCCACCTACTGTTACTCATTTTATGTTAGGATTTAAAAATCTAGTTGGTATTGGTATGGCGAGTATCCATTTAGTAATAGCAATAAATCACACAGCAATAGTACATTCATGTAGTTGTAATAATATATTAAGTAATCCAAAGTATTCAGAATACGTTACTCTCATTGAGTAACGTAACGGAATACGTTACAAAATACATTTTGGGGCATGTAATCTGTAACCTGTAGTGGAATACATTTTAAAAGTAACCTTCCCAACACTGTATACTATGTTCATGTTAAGCAGATATGGTAGAGGCGATGGCTCCAATGCCACACACCCGCTTCGGATCAGTTCATACAATGGGCCTTATTAGCAGAAATCTACAGCAGGCCTGATTTTTCCCCAACCAAGTTGTCTGGGAAAGATACAGAATCTTAGATAGCGCCAATGTTCAGTAAGTATCCGGTCGTTAACACTAGCCATGTCTGGGCCTAAACTGCGCTGCAGGTCCATAAATCAAACGATCACTATGGCATTACTGAGAGTTGAAAAACTGTCTAAAGTCTTTCATCTTTAACAACACAAAAGCCATATTAAACGCAGACTACTTTAGGCCCGGAAGTAGGATTCGTCACGTCATCACTTAATGACCGGATTATCTTGAAACAAGTCAGTTTAATGAGCCAGTTTTAAACTTGCCAAATTGCAAAGACACTTGTCATTTAAATTAGTATGTCTTGGTAATATTTTGGATAAAGCAGCAAACTTTTTTTTAAAATTCAACATTTCTTACACCATTCTAACTTCTCTGAAAACAATTCTAACACTGTTTTAGTTATAAGATGCAAAACTGTAAGTAGCTTTGGATGTTTGCCTCTTACAAAGATCACTTTCATTGCTCCTGATTGATGAAATGTGGAAGAGCAATTTTGAAAAACAAAATGACATTGAATTGGTTGAATTAAAAAAAAAAAAAAGTTAAATAAACTGAAGAAATAACTGTTAGATAAAGTGATTATTAAAATTATCCGTGTTACAAAAGTTTGGGTCGTCCTTATGTTCATGACAGCTGTACAAATAGCTGTAAAAATAGCTGTAAAAATAGCTACGCTTGTTGAACACAATATGTGTTTTTTTTTTTAAAGATGTATTTAGCAACTAATGTATTCAGGTACGCCCACACATCAAACATCTGAGTCGACTCTGTTTCAATATAATTATAAAGTGGGTTGAACTGCGTGGTCCAGAATATTTTCCCCATTTGGAGTTTTACTGTTTACAACCAAAATGTATGAGTGTACTTTTTAAATATAACCAGCCTTTGATGAACTCTTTGAATTACATGTGGAAAATGAGTGTGGTGTGCTATAACGACAGCAAACTAAGCCTATTTGGCCGCCTTGGCATTCTGCAATCTCTGTATTCATGCTACAGGCCATCCACAACTGCACACGAGCAGAATGGAAGTGGTTTGCAAGGCGGTCTGCTAGAGAAATCAGGTCAACCAGTGGATTACCAATGAACTTGAGGAAATCCCCTCAAACTATGGATGAACTTCAAGTCTGCGTAGCTTTGCATTACTGGATGTACAGTAAAAGAGAGAAACTAGCACGAGTCGTACACTGTGCCTCTATATGATGGAGTTAATATCAAGCAAACATCATTAAAGAGGGAGGAGACCTCGACGTGAACCCAAGGCTTATCATGGATGCCATTAAGACGGAAAGAAAACAACCGCTCACGATCAGCGTCCTTTCTCATTAGCTGGGAATAACAAAGTCTTTGCTATTCAATGAGGATTTACTCCTGATTTCCCAACATGCTCAGCAAAATGGGAAAAAAAGGAAAATCAAGCCCACTGCTTTGCTAAAAGAAGAGCACTGAGTAACCCAGCTGTGTCTATGAACAAGCATATTCCTAATAAAAATGGCACATATGTGAAGGTTGGACTCATTGACTGAGTTGTAGTTCCTTAACAAAATAACTTGATAATTTAAAAGAAGGAAAATGGCAAATGCATGGTGCTTGTTTAGAATCTAATAAACGCATGAACTATATACCACACATGTCGAAATCAATACTACTTAGAATGCTGTTCTGTTACATCTAAGACCTGCAAAAAGTCCTGCAATATTTCTTTCACTGTATCGCACACAATGTGCCACAAGAAGCTAATTTTCTTTGAGGGTACAAATAACCTGGCCCTTTAAAACTTCTCAATAACTGCGCGTGAAGCCCTGGAGACACGTTTGAGCGACAGGCGCTGTAAAGGGAGAGACTGTTAAGTTCTACTTTGCAGGCTCAGCTGGTTGTTCTTCTGGCTTTTCATTCTTATTTTGACTCATGCGACTGACAGGTCAGAAATGGAAAGACGAGATATTCGTGGAAAAAAAAAGTGTCTGTCTCATTGTGATGTTTCTATATTTGTTTGTAACTCAATGTGTGTCCTCACGAGTACAACGTTAAAAGGTCATTTAAGGCAATTGTTTTATCGAATGTTTCTTGCGACCCAAATGTATAATTAAGGTAACTAACTGAAGTGGCTTTCTTAATTATTATTTCCCAACTGTGACACTGATGACAAACATGCTGCAGAGTTACAGTGACATAAAAGAAAATGTGGTAATTTAGTTCATTGTGTTTTGCAATTTTCATGTAGACCTGAGATTAACCCTATGTAATGAAAATGTGTTTGTAAAGGTAACAATTGTAAAAAAAACAAAAAAAACAATGGGTAATAATGATTTAATTTAAAACTGGAGTAAAACTGGTGACCCTTAAATTACATCCTAGAGTTTGTTTGTTTTTTTGTTGTGTTTTTTAAAGGCAGGTGGTTCCTGAAATAAATCAAAAACATCAGGATTATGTTTTAGCCAAATCATAGCCATCAAGTTTTTATAGATCAGTAGTACAAATCACAAAGTGAAGGCCATCACACACAGAGCCTGTTGGAAAAACATGACAGGAAATTCTGGATTTTTCAGATCCAAACTTGTTGTGTAACATATATACATGCCAAAATGTTGTATTTTTTGCAAAAATTAGTCTTCAAGAAACCCACTGTGAAAGAAATGAAGTCTGCACCAAGCGATGATGAGCTAGTCCTAATGTTTCTAAACAAGAAAAGGAGGAAACGGAGATTCTGGGTATGTCCAATTCTTAAAAGAAGGCAGCAACGGGGGAAAATTTCATTGTTTGGTCCAGGAGTTGACACTGTATCATGGCCACTTTTGTACTTTGAACTCTTGTTCAAGAGTTCAAGAGTGTCTAAGGTAAAACTGAACCATTTTATTATTTCTATATTCAGTAGTGGTGTTCATTTTGAGCTACAAGCAGCGGTTTGACTGGTCAGATCTGTTTATCCAGCTCTGATCATTTGTAAAAAGCGAGCTTGGTTCGAAAGAATAAATGTCGCAAATTTGTCATGTGAATTACATAGTTGGTGTGACCGTCTGCATTAAGAATTTACAGAATTTACATATCCGGTGTTTAAAGGCCTTAACTCATTATACAAATACTATCATGATATTCCATAATAATAACAATTACACTGCGATACAGTAACCCTGCAGTACGTCGCTACAACATCTGAAAAATGCCTCTAAAAAAGGAGAAAATAGAGCTGGTTGCATGCATTGTCCTAACTGTCCTCCATGAGTTCCTTCTTCTTTAGCCCGAGTTGTTTAACGTCTGTTCACTTACACTCATTCATTTAATAAGCACCACCTCAATGAGTCATATTGCAGTGATTCAGTTTAACTGCTGTGGGAATCCATCTAGAGCACCTGCAATCTTTAAATAAAGATATCAGGATTTGGCAGCAGTGAATCCACACCACAGCGAAAGAAAAAAAGTCAATAAGATACACCGTCACATCAATACATTTTTCAGCTCCTACTGTTAGCAGATAAATGAACATTCACCAACAAGTAACGTCATAAGCAGGACAAAGACTGGAATTTTGAAGAAGCCATACACACACATGAACTCACACATTTATTAAAACTGCAAAATAAGACCCCAGATGGATGACAAAACACAGACAACACCTGCCAACACGACCACAGAAATGAAAACTGATGGTTGCAAAAACTTGAAGATGAGCAGTAATGGAAGTGAAGGATGATGGCGCAGGGAACACGGGGGGGTGACGACTAGCAAAGGTCAGCTTGCACACCTTGGGAGGCATGATGGATGTGTGCTCTGAGAAGCTCCAAAGTCAAATGACCTTTATTGCAATCAAAACTTTTATTTTGAACACACAAGGCAGAATCAATTACCAGCACTATACAATATCTAGGTGTGTGCTGTTTGATATATGGAAGAGCAAAGAATAAGACAGAAGTTTAAAACATTAATAAATACTATTTCTGTGTTTTATAAGGCATAACATGAAGGACTGTTTTAATATCTGTGCTGCAACAAGCTAGAAATCTAAAACTAAATCTTAAATTAAGCGAACTTAACCCAAACGGTCTCCATGCACTGCCTTCCCAACACAGACTTAATGATTCTAAATCCACGTGGACTACAGAGCTAAAAACGACTGAGCCCGTTTCCCATCCAGCCTCACTACTTTCAATACGTTCACATACACAAGTCTGAACGTCATTTAAATGCCGAGCCAGCTTGTGCTTGCAGTGATAAGGGAATTTTCCAGTGAGTCATAAGCAACTTCTCTCTGAAGGCTTGTGGAACCTAAAAAGAGAGCTGGGGGAAATGCAATATGCTGTTGCTCAGCAATCCTCTCCCAGTCCGCTTATTTCAACGACACAGGCATCTGTATTTAACCCTTCCAGCTCCTCCCTATCTTCTACCATTTGTCATCCTGACCGTGTGACCTGAGGTTCTCAGGCCAATTTACTTTTGCTCAATGTAAGGTCGAGATGAAATGAAAGTTGCCCTGCAGTTGCTAAAATTGCCTAACTACTGTCCACAAACTGAAGCAATTTGGGGAAAGGAGCAAATAGATTTAAAAGACTCCGATTAAAAATGGCTTGACCCTTACCACTGTTCCCTGCTTCCAGTGCCTTTAATGTTTGCTCTTTGAGTCGGTCGGCTTCGTGTTTTTTCCTCCTGTGTTCCTCCAACTTGACCTGCAGGTCTTCTGCCACCTGCTGGAGCTCTCTGAGCTGGGCCTAATGAGATGACAAGAAAACAAAAAGTAGAAAAAACATGGCCAACTTTGTCAAATTTATAACTATACCTTACAGTCAACATGCAAGATAGCAGCAACAGTTTGCATTGGTCTTAAATCTGATTGATTACAATCTTGAATCGAACTACTGTGGGGGGGGGGGGTTTTAATCAACGTCCTTTGGAAATGTAACTTTCATGCAAGCTGCACTAGCCCAAAGAACATTAGCGTTCACATTTGATGTTCATGAATTTGGCTATTGTTCAGTTTTAAGTCTTAAGTATTGGATAGTGGCTGCAGAAAGACAACGCACAGAAACAAGCCCCCTAAAAGTAAAGCAGTATTACAACATTTTGTATTACGCTTGTACTGTTGTTACAGATTGGGACAACCTACACAGTACTGCCACACTAAAAAACAGAGACAGTTTCTTAAGTAATGTTAATTTCTCTGTTGTTTGGTTGGCTCATTACCTTATTATACAATGTTTCCAGATGTCAACTCTAAACATTTTGGAAACAGGCTGGTCTTTTCGATAACTCAACCACTCTCCCACTGAAAACGCTACGTCCAGATGATCAGACTCAACTTTTTGGTGCATGGAGCCAACAGTTGCAGTTTAAGGTGAAATGTTTCAGCAACTAACAGATGCGTTGGAATCAAATTTGACACGGACTTGAACGTCAACCACAGAGTGAGCATGAATAAGTTGTAATAATGTTGATGATCCACCAATTAAAGTTTTATTTTGCTCAGCATTTCAAATACCTACAGAACTAATGAGAATGCCAACACCATCCATTTTTCATGCTTAGTCCTTTGATGGTAGTATGGAAAATACAATTATAAACCTCCAGAGCAGTAAAATGAAGCCAACTCAGAAATACCAAAAACCGCAGTTCATTGAATGGCCACTTGAGGGCATTTGAGTCAACCATCTTAAAAGCTTTAATAATGAAAATACCATATTTATAGATTAGTACACATTAGGGCTGCCACAAACGATTATTTTGATAGTCGACTAGTCACCGATTAATTTTGCAATTAGTCGACTAATCAGAT